CAGAATTTTCTCTGAAGTACAAATTATTGGTATCTTGTTGGAGTACTCCGGACGGAAGTTATATAAATTCATGATTAATGAACGGCTATCTTAGGACATTAAAAGTTGCTTCCCTTATATATAATTGTAAAAAACGCAAAAACGCCCACAAAAACTGCAAAACGCAACAAAGCCCATAAAAATCGCAAAAAGCAAAATGCACAAATGAAAATTTTTATGTATCTCTCCATAAACCTTCGAACCAAATTTGATGAAGACTCATCCACAGGAGGTGAGATAGTGGTAAAAAACGTAAAATGTAAAACTGACAATATGTATGTACCCCTGTATGGACCTAATGAACCTCCAAACCAATTTGGGTGAAGATCCATCCAAACCATGCAAAGTAGTTGCATGGACATAAAACGGACAGTACTATTATATTTATATAGATTCAGCATGCTCTTGTAAATGAGCATTTGGTTAGATGAGGTTTTAGATCCTTAAAGTTCATGAAATTTCGCTTCAGTGTTACCAAATGCTGATATCGCATTTATAAAGCAAGGATTGATAAGTGCGTGAATACATCTTAAAGAACTATTTTTACGAAATATTTAGCGTATTGTGTCACTTGACAGAATCTGATGTGTATGCCAAATGTGTCCCGTACATTATCGTTGTGAATCAATTCCCTTGTGAGTAAGCTATTTTATTCGGTCAGTCTTTTAAGCGAATGAATGCTCCAGCGTATTATTGTGATATTTTCTGACTCGTGAAATTATCTCAGAGTAGTCAGTTAGGGCCTGGAGGTTCAAGAAAATTAAGTCACAGAGCGTATTTCTTCCCCAATTATGACCGAGTTCGTCACACAGAAAAATATCGTACACAAATATCCAATTGCAAAAACAAACGAACATTTATTTCACACGAAAGCAAAACAAAATACGACACAAGAGGAAATGTGTTCGGTGAATATGTTGAACTGGCAAGAGATACGTGGAAACATTTAACAGTTTCTCGCACCAGTTCAGTGTGCTATCCCTTGTAAGTTACACTAAACGTAAAATAAAACTTAAAAAATAACCCCGTTTTAAGTTAGTTACAATCCGTGAAAAACATTACAATTTAAAATAAAAAAACTAACGAGGGGAAGCTAACACATGGTGCAGTTCTGTACCATAGCATATTGGGGTGGTCGTTATCACGTATTAGGTAGGCTGAGGCGAAGATTACATTAGGATGTGATAGGCTACATCGTCCCGATGCTAGTATTCTGCAGGAAGTAGAGGTTTGTACTTTTTCCAATGCTTCTTCCTGCTCACACTATACTTCCAACATCGCCATACGCGTTATATTCCTTTATGAAAATAAGGTTGGATTCAGTCTTGATTCCCTTCAAATGAGTAGAAACTGGTTAATTGGCTATAGGGTGTATCAAAATATATGTATAAAGGATTAAAGTTGCGCATATGTTTTTGGTTAATAGATGTGTTCTTTGTATCACTACAGAGTCGCAGAAGTGTTGTTTTGTGTCTTACTGTAAGTCGAATGCATATCATCGAGCGTCTGGCATACAGGCTGACTTTGTGTAGCCTACATCTAATCATCTGTAGATTGACACGGCGTCGAGTTACGACTGTGAACATCTGATCCAGTTTCGGAACTTCTATCCCACAGATCGTAGTCTTCTGCTTGCGTTGTGCATGATTTGTATTTGGAAGTAGTTTCACATTTTGGTAACGACACTTGGAGATGCTTGGGACCAATCCATAGCTGCTGCCGTGACTGGCTGGCTTTGATTTGTCTGATGGCACTATACATGGACCAATTCAGATTAGCTAGCTTCCATTTGTTAGATAGTACTATACATGGACCAATTCAGAGCATCTGTCGTGATTAGCTAGCTTCCATTTGTTAGATAGTACTATACATGGACCAATTCAGAGCATCTGTCGTGATTAGCTAGCTTCCATTTGTTAGATAGTACTATACATGGACCAATTCAGAGCATCTGCCGTGACTGGCTGGCTTTGATTTGTCTGATGGCACTATACATGGACCAATTCAGAGCATCTGTCGTGATTAGCTAGCTTCCATTTGTTATATAGTACTATACATGGACCAATTCAGAGCATCTGTCGTGATTAGCTGGCTTTAATTGGTTTGATGGCACTATACGTGAAACATTGGTTTTTCAATTGTACGTTTGTGTTCGATCTTTTTCTGTGCGACGAACTCGGTCATAATTGGGGAAGAAATACGCTCTGTGATTTAATTTTATTGAACCTCTTCTGTAACAACCCGTCATGGCTCATGAAAAATGTGGAATATTTTGAACTCTGTAATTCACTACAAAATAAAGACTGAGACAAGAACTATATATAATTGAAAGACAAATCATTTGATTTCAGTTCATATGAATGACCATTAGAAGCCTGATGTTCATAAGATTGAACTGATGGGGCGGTAATTCATATTATTTTGTACAGTGATTTGTGTCATGTCATAGCTATAATATCACAAGTTCCGATTATCCTTTACTCGTTTTGACCAGTGCACTTACTTAAATCAGGGTTGTTTGTGGTGAATTTTATAAATTTCAAAATTGCGCGTACATATTATTCACTCTTAGGTATTAAAAACATGTTCCTATAAAATATCTATATTTAGATAATTTTTTGCACCTCAAAAATCAAAAAGTTCATTTTCCAAAAACTCCTATAGTTACATAATAAAACAACAGATACATTTTTTCGAATAGGCAAGAATATCAAACTGCTTTTACTGTTTTGTGTCTTAGACTATTAAGTCGTTGTTGAAACATTTTTTGTTATATTTGAAAACTTTGTTCGGTAAGTCACTATTATGTTACGTATTACAATTTCGAATGGTTTAAAACCGAGCTAAATGATAATTTAAATTTAGTAGTTAAATATATGCCGATATATCTCCATTTTACAGTCACTGATACTCAAGAATATATTTTAGTGATGAAAAATTATACTATTTGAGGATAAAGCTAAGGCACAGTGTTTTCACTATTTTATTTCATAAATGCTAATATAAATGTTTCAAAACTTACAACAGCACTATCCCCATAATAAGAAATAAATCATTAGTTACTTCTGAAACGCAAGATATTTTCAGTTATAAAACTTTATCTATTATATCCTTGCTTCCCCAAAAATCTAACAGCTCTTTGCATTTTAGAAACTTACCAATTTTTTCTCGTTTTGCCAATATACAATAATTTCCGTACTGATCGAATACTGTGAAGGTTTGTTCCAAATCTTCTATTTATGAAGTCAAACATAAGACATCAGACACCATTATATTCGCAAAAATCAGGAAAATAAATCAAATATATACACATATGTATATATATATGCATATATTATTACTTAATAAGTATTACGCATTTAGTTTACTATCAACTGAATATCATATTTTATATATTTTAACAGTTTGGATAATTATTAACTCACTAGTGTGTCTGAAAGGAAGTTATGAATGTGTAGAACCATTTGAATAGGAAAGCTGAACTCGATGTTAACAATACTCATCTCTATGTTTTAGTTTTCTATTGAAATGCATATACTCAAAGGTATTTTCACGTCTTCTACTTTATAGCTTTAAAGACGTTACATACGGTTTCGATCGATAACACAACTTACCTCTACAGTCCCTCTCCACTTGTCAGCAGCATGACGAGCTAATTCCATTCTGCGCTGTTTACGAGTCTGATGTTTTTTGTAGATGATCTCAATGATGATTAGGCCTACACCTCCAACAATTCCCGCACCGACTAAAATAAAAACCCCTACAGAAAGAAAATAATAATTAGCTGATAGCTCTTAGATATACAGAAAGTTTCAGTATAAAATCCGGAACATCGTCTCCTTCTCTGTCAACAGGCAGTTACAGTCAATTAAAGTTTTTAAACCTACTATGCCTGTTCTGCTTAATGTTCCACTGAAACAATATAACTTATTAAAGTAAATGAGCAGAAAATTGTTGATGCTATTTAAATAATAATTTTCTTGGCACTGCTGCTAACAAAAACTTGTATTTTTACTTTAAAATACTACAACATACCAAAGACAGAGAAAGCGAGTTTTCATAATCAGACTAGACAGCATTAATCTAAATCGTAAAGTGTGTGAAGCAGATGATATATTACGAAAGAAGCTCTCCTAACGTAGATTTTTGCGTTGTTTTGATATTGCTTTAAGGCAAACGAAACATTACTTTATTTACTCATTCTAATTGATGATTGGCTTTCATGGAATGAAATTTAAACTTAGTTCATAAAAAAATTTTAATTGGAATTTTTTGCTAACGGCTCGGTATAAGTTCAACCTTGAGCTTTAATACATGTTATTTATAGCGATCCTGCATAATGACGTCACGCTCGAAGAATATTTTGTGAAACGGGGTTTTAGCCAGTGTGAGATAACATCGTAATTACATACAGTTGACCATGGTTTACTTATGTGTTTGGGCCTAAAAATATTGCCTAGATCTTATTGTGTACTTCCTGGTTGTTATAGTGTGTATATAAAGAAAGACAAAAGTTAATAACTTTACCATTTTTCGAAAGACAAATTTCTGAGAAAAGAACGAATGAAATGGATATGAAGAATTTATTTGAAGTTAAACACAAAGCTAAACAATGGCCTATCTGTGCTCTGCCACCACGGGTATCGAAGCCCAGTTTCTAGTGTTGTAAGTCCGCAGACTTGTATTGTTTGCTTGTTTACAGTTAAGCACAAAGCTATACAAAGGGCTATTTGTGCTCTGCTCACCACGGGTATCGAAACCCAGTTTCTAGCATTGTAAGTCCACAAACATGCTGTTGTGCCGATATCAAGAAAGGATTTCATAAATTGTGGCAATATTATCGTTACATATTTTCTTATATATATATATTTTTTATATGAAGTTTATTACTTCAAAATTAGGGATAGCTGGTGTCAACCATAGGGATCTCTGATCTGATAGCTCAGCTCAGGTGTCGCATAAGTTTCTGTTCAGGTTGGAAATAACAGTACTTTAAAGTGACGGCCATCACATTAAGCCAATCTTTCTTCAAATTTAGCTTTTAATTAACATTTTTGTCATGCGTACTAGTAACAAACAAGCTTTGTTATTGCCAATTTGTATGTAATGCGTAAGTCGTTACTTATTTTATTTATTTTTTATTCAAACTTAATAAATGTTAAGTGTATGTACATATACCTTGGATATAAATAAATGCATTTTAAATATTTAGAGAAATAATGCTTTCTTTATATTGGTGCTACGAAAATAGTTTTAAGCAAATCGAAAACCACGTTGATCGGTTCTCGTGGGGGCGTTTTGGGAATAAGATTCGAAAACACCACTAATAGTAAGGAAAAACCATTCTGTTAGCGCGAATGTGTTTTTTAGTCACTATGAGAAAAACCTATACACTAGATAGGTGAAGTGAAGAATAAGTGTCACTATTCACTATCCAGCTTATCTCTCTTTGGTTAACTTGTGTTCAGGGTTACAGATGAGGAGTGGAATTATCCGAAACTAATATGACCCAATAACACACGTTGATCAAAGTGTAGATTGAACGGAACCTCCCTTGAACTTAGACTTCAAAATTAAACAAATTTCAGAATACTAAGTTTATGTATAATAGTAAGGAAAGAAACCCAACTGGTTAATAAATGATTTACTCACTAGAAACCGTTTGTTGCCTGAGTAGTTTATATTATACTTTATATAGGTTAATAAATGATTTACTCACTAGAAGCCGTTTGTTGCCTGAGTAGTTTATATTATACTTTATATAATGCCCGCATGTCATAATAATGTTGGCTGTAAATAAACTTCAGAGTTAGATGTATACAAACTTATGTTGGTAGTTTCTTCTGTTTATGTGTTAAAGTTATTTGTTTTGAATTTCACGCAAAACTACACGAGGGTTATCTGTTATTTTGAAGTAACAGACTGGAGGGACGGCAGCTAATCAACACCATCCATCGTGCCAATTCTTGAGCCACTCTTTTTCTAGTGTAGTATTGCGCGAAATACATAACAAACAAATAAACATTTTCGTGGGAAATACTCTGTGTGGGGCGGATTCTGTCTACTTACCCGCCATGTTCTTTAAACCAAGAGTAGCAGGAAACTTCTCATGTTTGTTGTCGCATTTGTCACCCCCAGACAATATCCATTTGTTGTCCAAGTCCTCCATGTAGCCACCTTAAGCAAGTAATGTATTTTGGTTATCTGGAAATCATTTGAAATGTTCAACTCTTAAGCTGGCATAAACTGGAAAGGTATGCCAATTGCGGTTTAAGGTTTATTATTATTATTTACCAAATCCATTCATTAGTTACATTAAATATTATAAACAAAACAAAGTTAGGTGATGAAGACAAACAGGGTAGTTTAAATAGTATGTGTTTTGCGACTTAAAAAAAAAAAACGTTTGATTTCTCCAGATGCTTGCAAATAACTATCAATGTCATATAGGCGTTCGTGTTTTTAATAAATTATTTTTCTAAATATAGCATTTCGATTTTGTTCTTTTTTATAAGTAAATGAATATTTATCAGTGCATTAGAAAAAGTAAAGTTACTCTTTTAGGACTTGAGTTCTAAATACACAAAGTTAAGGAGAGTATGAATCTAATGCTTAAAATAAATAACACTTTAATTTGATTAAATTAAAATGATTGAACTATGCCGTTTTTTTTTGTGCACTTAGAATATATAGAAACAAAAATGCGAAGTAGAATAAAAGTAGAATCAGAAATTTCAATTTAGTTCTTATTCATAAGGTGTGAATTATATAAGTTTCAGTTTCAAGTACTGCAGTAGTATTGAGCTTACTTTCATGCATCTCTAACAAAGCCAGAGTAACTTGATCAGCCCAGAAGCTATTCTTCTGTAAGCCTATTCCGTAGCCTGACCGGCCGAACTGTTCCCTTGCTGTTACCAGATCACAGTCTTGAGCAGCTTCATACTCCAATCGAGAAGAATCCCAGATGAAAGCATTCAGTTCTCTGTTGGGTTTTTATAAAACATTTACCCATTAAAACTAAATGACGATCAAATGTTTTCTATGTTGTTTTTCGTATATTTATTTTTCACTTAAATCGTTAACACAATGCTAAGTTTGCTAACATCAAAACGAGTTTTATTAACTCACAAAGAAACGAACAAGTTTGAATAGATGTATGAAGAAAAAAAAAGAAATTTCTATAACTAAATTAATAAAGCTACTAAATTTTTCATCTTAATAATAATCCGTGTACATTATGCTAAATAATATTTATTGGGCACTAGAGGGCGAAAAATCCTTCCTTCCTGATCTTTAATACATTCGAAATAAACGAATGATCTAATAGGACGATTTTCTTTCTTTCTTGCGTCATTATTGAAAATGAGTTTCACCTAAAAATCTGTGTATGATAGTAATGATAAACTACTTAATATAAGTGCAAATGTGTAAGAAAAGCATATAACAAACTTAAATAGATAGCCAGAACAAAAATGTTTTTTGATAGCTATATTAATGCTGTAAATATTGCAAAATGTCGTTTTTTTCACCTCATCTTCAATTGCAATGTGTCGCTTTTTGAATCAGTTTTACAAAGATGGAGAACGGTTTAGTAAACAAATTCAGGGGCGCCAGTATTTTAAATATGTACGCCAAGTGGAATTTGGGGAAAAAAGCTCCTGAGTTTTTACACTTAGATGGTATTCTACGTAAAGGGCATACTTTTAGGTACTACATAATATACAAGTAAAGAAAAACTTTTCGAAAAAGGACATAAATGTAAGGATGGCTAATATCAATCCTTCAAAAACAATGCAAACAAAATAGTTGGGGTGGCATTTGTATAATACCTACATAATAGCACAGTAACACAGTGTAGTAGAATGTTAATAGAAAAAAAAAGGATAAATTAAACTCAATTGTGATTTAATAGTTATATATATTGTTATATGTTAATTCTTGCCTGTACTATTATGTAGGGAGGATGCAAATGCCATCCCTACTATCATATTTGCATTGTTTTTGAAGGATTGACATTAGCCATCCCTACATTTACTTATTTTTTTGAATTTTTTTTTATGTACTTGTTTGGTTGTTTTTTTATGGAGTGTTTCCATAAAATAGGAGGTTGTATTTATGACCAAGTTTTAAATA